GCTCCTCCTCCACTTCTTCGTTCTCCTCCAGCTCCTCCCCATCCACGTCTCTGCCCTCCTCCCGTTCCTCCACGTCTTCGTCCTCCTCCCCCTCGTCTTGGTTGTTGTCAATTGCTCGCTATAACCTCCTCCCCCCCCCCMCCCCATACACGTGTCACATGGCCTTTTCGTTGTGTTCAATCCATTTGCAGTACTTTGTATAGCACTTTGTATGTGCACTTTTTTTTTTTTTATAATCCGGACATATACACCCGTCCCTCCCATTCACGTCTTTGCCCTCCTGCTCCCTGTCCACATCTTCGTCCTCCTCCCCCTCGTCTTGGTTGTTGTCATGTACTCGCTATAACCTCCCCCCTCTCTCCCATACCCATGCCACATGGCCTTTTCGTTGTTTTCAATCCGTTTGCAGTACTTGTATAGCGCTTTGTATGCGCAGTGTGCACTGTTTTTTTTATTATTATAAATAATCCGGACATATACACCCGTCCGGACATGGATCCAGACAAGTTGATCCAGACGTATCCGCATTAACTGGAAATTACTGAAATCCGGACGTTCGGATGAAACCGGAAAGTCTGGTTTCCGGTGTCCGGACTTGTCCGGTTCACTTGTCGGCCTCTGCCATGCCTGATTCGTCAGCATCTGGCCATAATTGCGACCAGATTCTTTTTGGAAAGTGCTAGCTTAGCGGTTCGGAGTGGTCGCCTGAGTGCGTTCAGAGCTGGAATCCTATTCTTAGGGCATACTCACACGAGGTTTTTTTAGTTTTTTTTTGTTCCTCCGGGCAAAGCAGTAGCTCAGTTGGTAAGGCTCCCAAGTGGCATTCAGGAGGTCTTGGGTTCAATCCCCATTGGCCTCATGTACCTTCCTGGGCATGCTTGGCGTCTTCCACCTAGAGATAGACTACTGGGTCCCCCCATCGGCATTGAGCAGTCTGCTGATGTTCATAGGGGAGGGGACCTGAGGGGAGGCACAGGGATTGGTCCTGTTGGAATGGTCCATGCAGGTCGGGAGCATCTCCCGCATGTTCTCTCGTGAAGACGGTTCTGGCTGCTACGAGGTTCTTCCCCATCTGACTATAATTAGGAGAGATGCCCGGTATGACTATAATTAGGAGTAGTGGTAGGTATTAAAAAAAAAAAAAAACAGAAGAATTGTAGTATGTTGCTCATTTCTTGGAGTTTGAACTCAGGTCTGCATTTCGACAGTTCAGGGGTGTACCAACTGGGCTACCCCGGTTGGTAGCTGGCAGGTTTGCCTGTCTCCCCTTTTTTTTTTTTTTTTTTTTTTTTAATTTCGGCGAAACCGAGAAGGCATGGCTTGTTGACTGATGTGGCCCTCCTTCGTCGTTTCATCTCAGCTCCAAGGCAGTTTCATCTCATCCCCGCCTTGGAGCTGCGACTTCGCCGCGGCGGGTCGGACTTGTTTTTTAAATAAAAAAGCCCGAGGCTGCTCATGCCAGTTCTGGTGCCTAGATTGACTTGATGATTGTTTTTTGTAAATCATACAGGTGGACAGTATGCTTGGAAGGAGGGAAAAGCCTGGTGAACATGAAGCGATGCGGAAGATAAAGAACGAGTTCATGGCCAATTGGGATGGCCTGCGTACAAGGGATCGAGAGCGAGTGCTTGTCTTGGCTGCAACCAACCGTCCGTTTGACCTTGATGAAGCAGTTGTGAGGCGACTGCCAAGGAGGTCTGTACTTGAATGACCCCTTGTTCCCTCATTACACCCTCCTCCCCTTCCCTCTCTTTGCTCCCCCGCCCCCCTCCACCGGGCCCTTACTCCCGTTATGAGAAAGGATAGAATTCATCACTTGAGGTTCAACTTATTCCATTCGACTTGCATGTGTTAAGCATGCCGCCAGCGTTCATCCTGAGCCAGGATCAAACTCTCCATTAGATCCAAAGTTCAACACAAGCTTCGTTTGATGGGAAGAACCTGTTCTGAAGTGCAATGTGAGTGTGGAGATTTTGGGAGGTAAATGCAGCAGCGCTTAATATGCCCGCTTATGTCTATCATTGAATCATGTAAGACTCCTGACTGCCTTGGTCGTTTGGCAGTCATTTCAGCCATGATAAGAGATTAGATCATAGCAACAATAGCTGCTACTGCTCGTACTAGGGGAAGGGATACGGATAGGGGCTATGCGTGACAGGATTGGACTAATTATTCATGGTATAACTGTGTGTGTTCGTTTTTTTTTTTTTTTTTTTTTTTTTT